CCGTCAGGACAAGGAAGATGTAAAGTACCGGTAAGCCACAAGCCACGTGGCAAGGTATAGATTAATAGAAATGGATTAATTTAAGCTGTAAGAACAGTTAGCAAGAAGCCTGCCACGGCCATACAGTTTGTAACCAAAATAAGTCTCTGTGTTTACTTGATCGGGTTTGAGCGGCTTGGGACTGGCGGGTGAGAGAGATTTGTCCTGACTGTGGGCCAGGCAGGAAAACTCCAGCAACAAATGGCGCCCAACGTGGGGCAAGAGTTTCCACCTAAAAACTGAGAAAAAGGATTCTAAAACGGAGCTAAAAACAGTTCCTAATGGTCTCTCTCAAATGGGCGGCAGCTGCCGGTTTGAGCTACTGGCGGGTTGCTGGCGTGTGCGCTCGACCTGCAGTATGGCGGGAATGAGGCCTCTGCAAGTGGCACATTAAGCTGCTTGGTGAATTTAGCCTTTGCTAGTACAAAACAAAAAAAGAGGTTTCTGGGCTACACGCTGCTTGGATAAAAGCATAGACCCACAAAAGCTCCCAGAGCTGGCGGAAAACTACAGTAGCCGCCATGTTGGGAAGCTGAGGTGGGCGGAGCCAGCAGCCACAGCTCCTGCATCTTAAAGCAATAGATTCACAATAAGACAGATTCAGATGTAATAGTTTAAAATGTGTGTAAAATATACGTAGGCTTGAAAGAGACAAAAAAAGGTGATATATACAATATAGAAACAAATACATGGTTTTAAAAAATAAAGTCTTTAAAGAGACAGTAAAATTAATATAAAAAATAAGCCACGTGAAGATGAATATTACACAGAGAGTCTGGATTGTGTTGTCTTTGGGATTCTTAACTACAGAGAGATATTTGATTGTAAAGGAAGCTGAGTTAAACCAGTATGTATATTTTAAAGATACTTTGACTTCAAAATTTGGATGTAAGGATATGTTGCTTTGGAAAAGAGTCTCTTTTGTTTCCACAGAAAGCAAGAGGCTATGGATTTGTTCCAGAGTAAGATACATCAGGTTTGACCAGCCAAGACCCCCTGAAAGGTCTCCGATGACACCATGGCCCAGATGATCCAACATCCAGAACCGTTTCAAGACAACTGGCTCAGATGATACAGCCTCACGGACTACTCCATGATCCTAAAATTTTCTTTGTTTCCCCAGAAGATACAGCGCCCCCCTCCAGCAGGAAGTAGTAAGAGAAGCTACGCCCAAATTCCCAAATATACCAAGCTGACTTTGGAGATGTGTAAAGGTTAAAACCTTCCTTTTTAAGAAAAGAAAAGGGGAGGTGCTGTGGGATGGTCTGTATGTCAAATGTGTTGCTGATTGGTCAATGAATAAATCACTGATTGGCAGTGGCCAGGCAGGAAGTATAGGCGGGACTAACAGAGAGGAAAATTGAGAGAACAGGAAGCTGGAGGGGGAGACACTGCCAGCCGCCGTCAGGACAAGGAAGATGTAAAGTACCGGTAAGCCACAAGCCACGTGGCAAGGTATAGATTAATAGAAATGGATTAATTTAAGCTGTAAGAACAGTTAGCAAGAAGCCTGCCACGGCCATACAGTTTGTAACCAAAATAAGTCTCTGTGTTTACTTGATCGGGTTTGAGCGGCTTGGGACTGGCGGGTGAGAGAGATTTGTCCTGACTGTGGGCCAGGCAGGAAAACTCCAGCAACAAAGAGTCTCAGGAGTCTTGAGGAAACACGGAGAGAAACATGATGAACTTTCCATGTTGAAAAAAAGGAATGGCCACATGGCAGAGCATAGATAAGAAATATGAGTTAATTTAAAATATAAGAGTTAGCTAGTAACAAACCTGAGCTATTGGCCGAGCATCTATAATTAATAATAAGTCTCAATGTGGTTATTTGGGAGCAGCTGTAGGGACACAGAGAAGCTCTGCCTACATGGTGGGAAATTCAAACTTGGCTCCTCCCATTTCAGACACATCTCCTGTGATATGAAAGCTCATGGGAGGGGCTGGGCGGACAGCTTAGTTGATGAAGTGCTTCCTGAGTCCTACCTCAGATCCCACAAACAACCCCAGCCCACTGGCCGGCCAGCTCAGCCTACAGGAGGAGCTCTGGGCCAATGAGGCCCTGGCAAAAAGGAAAAAGGTGCACAGTAGCTGAGGACCGACACCTAACGTTGTTCTCTGGCCTCCACATGCATGCACACACATGTACACATGTAACCAAGTTTACACATAAACACACACGTGCACAAACATGCAAGAATGAACAGAAGGCTGTAGGACAAGGATTCAGTCATGGTAGTGTATATATCCAGAGTATAGCTCAAATTTTGTTCTGTGTAATTAATTACCATCCACTTGTGGGTCAGGGAAGATTTTTTTCATGTAGGAAGATCAAGAACCAGTTTGGTTAACGAGCTCACACACTTCCTGGAGGAAGAGAACTTAAGTCCTAATGTTTGTTTATTAAGATTTGAAGTTATAGATATCTTCCAGAATCTTCCAGTATGACACAGATAAAATACGAGGTTAGATATGGCAACAGGAGCTAGAAATAGCATTACTACAGAGTGGGAGCCAGCTCTGATGTAGACTCAGAGAGGAAGCAGGTGAAGAGTGGAGCACCTTGACCATGTGAGTTTGGGACCTAGTTCAGGGTTTGGACCTAAGCCAGTTTGGAATGCATGGATCAGTTACGAATTATGAGATGGGGTTATTATCCTGAATCACTAGAGTGGGATCAGTGTAATCTCCAGGCTCTTAAATTCCTGGGGCCTGGAGAGTGTGGAGGACCACAAAAGCAGAGTTTAATCATTTGCTTTGAAGGTAAGGAAGGGGTCATTTTTTAATTAAAACAGAATTACATCACTTTCCCCCTTCCCTTTCCTCCCTCCAACCCCTCCCAGGTACCCTCCCTCTAATTCCTCCCAGGTCCCTCCTAAAATGTATAGCCTCTTTTTCTTTGATATCCGTGTGTGTGTGTGTGTGTGTGTGTGTGTGTGTGTGTGTGTGTGTGTGTGTATTATGCACAAATGTATAAATACAACCTGCTGAGTCTGTTTTTGTTGTTTGTATATATGAGGTTTCAGGGCTGACACTTTGTATTGAACAACCAATAAGAGGGTTCATCCCCGGGAGAGGCTCAGTCCCCCTCTCCCAACTACCAACTCTCATCAAAGAGGCTTTTCTTTACAGCAAATGGAGACCACCACAGCAAACCATGTGTTTTAATCATGTGAATTAGCTCACAAGAAATTAATAAATGGGGAAGTGATGCAATGTAATAATATCAAAGCAGTTTGAGTCATATGCATGAGATGTTCCCAGTGTGGCATCTCCATTAATCAGTGACAACCTTTCTCCACAATTAAAGAACAAACCTCAACTCATAAGAAAACCCTTAAAAGTGGTGCCTTCCTTTAGTGAATCAAAGGCTAAGCTGGTGGTTTCAGGAGTTGCTATGACTTTGTGAGTGTATTGATGTTTAAATGGTCTGCAAAGTGTGGTGACCGGGAAGGAAGCTGACAGAAGACAAAGAAAGAATGATTAGAGAGATGGGGGAGGGGGGAGAGGAAAAGGAGAAAAGAATGCCTCTTGGTTTCAAAAAATGATGATGGCCATTTCTCAAGCTTTTGATTTTTATAATGCTGATCTGTTAAAAACAAATCTGTTGAAAAAGAGGAGACAAGCCCTTGCTGTGGCATTTAAGGTACCATGAGAGAGATGAGAAAGCCGGTGAACAGTTGCCAAATGCTGCCACACGCTATCTGAGCAGCTGCCTGAAGGTTTCCAGGTCCCTGTTTTAAGTGGGCTAGAAAAGGCCACTGGGCTTATGCATGTCCTGCCCAATGCAGGCCGTCAACTGAGCCTTGTCCGAAGTGCCACTGAGAGGGACACTGGTCAGTTGACTGCCCCCCCCCGCGCCCCCCCAAACCTCGTGGCACGGGGGCATCAAACCAAGACCACCCCCCAGCTATCTCCTAGGCTTGGTCACAGGCTCACAGGGAACCAGGGTAGCCATTGCAATATTGGGGCAACCATTTCCTTCCTTTTGGACACCAAGCCACTTACTCAGTCCTGAGGGAGTTTTGGGGCCCCACCTCTCCTTCTCCTTTCCCTGTCATTGGGGTAGGGGGACAGCCTTACCCACCTCACCAGACCCCACCACTTAGTTGTACTTTCAGGGGTACCTAATGGGAAGAGATTTTCCCATTTCAGGGGTACCTAATGGGAAGGTAGGAGCTTTCATTGCATTGCTCCCTCCGTGTGCCTCACTCCAGACCTGTCAGCAGTGCTTCTCCTCCTCATGCACAGGGAGGGCCCTGCTCTCCCTCAAGTTCCAGAGGACACCAGGATTCACTGCCTTGTCCCCAATTCCAGAAGAATGAGGTCTCACCCCACAAGCTCTTCCTCCCTGGTTCCATCTTCTAATTAACTATTCAGCTAATTGTTACAGGATCACCATAGAGCTGAAGGCCAAGACTATCAAGTATACCCAGGCGGTAAGGAACAGTAACAGTCCAAAGGTATTTACACCCCTGACCCAAAAGGGTCTGGGCTCTGCAAAAAACAGACTTTAATATAACAATCTATTACTGTTAGCCCTCAGCAATTGATCACTTGTGTCTCCTGGATGCTAAACTAATAAAGGAAACAGGTGCCTTAAAATAATCTGTCTCAGATAAGGCTTATTTCAGGTAAAAATTAAAAGCATGTTCCAAATATCCTCCCCACTAACACTAACCAACACAGCAGATTACTAAAACATTACAATATCATGGTCACCAGCTCAAGATTTTAAATTTCCCATGGCTGCTTCTTAATATGTTTAAAAATTCTTCCCAGCTCCATAGAATCTACCTGGACATGTCAGCAAGCTCCAGAGCCAGCTTGAATCTACCTGGACAGCACCTTGTCAGACTGCTCCAGAGCAGTAGACGACAATCCTCCATCCTAGGATGCCTGGCTACCTCAGAAGCCCCCTTCCCTACCCCCTGCCCCCACAAGAGTCAACCAATACCCACCAAGTCAGCTGGAAGCAGTTCCTGGGAGACAGAGTGACCCTATTCCTGTTCACCTGCCTTTTTTTTTTTTTTTATAATAAGCAAAGAGTCTGGAACGTTGGAATTCATGGCCACTCCCCAGCTACAAGACAGCACATGCGCAGTTTAGTATCTAGGCAAGGGATCTTACGTCCTGCGTAATCTGTGCTCCACGAGATCTTGTAATTTGCATGCAGCATGATCATGCAATCTGTGCGCATGCATGGTGCAGCTCCATAAGCCCATATGCACATGTGCAGGGGAATCCCTAAGAAGCAGATCACAGACTCCTCTCCCTCCTTCTGCTCCCCTCCCCCACCTTCTCTCTCTGCACGTGTCTTCCACAGGTCTGGTCATGTTCTCATCTGCCCCTCCCTTCTCCTAACAAAACTCTTATAGTGGGTTCTGTCATACCTCGTGACTTTTCTCGCATGGTAACAGCGCCGCTTAATGAATAACACTGCGCTGCCGCATAAAACCAACACTGGTGCCATGTCTACTCCCTTCATTTCAGCCACACCAGGCACTTTATTGGAATAGCCCCAGGACACTTCTTGGATCCATAGTCTACAGCGACACTATAGAGAAGAACAACATATGACCAATAAACAGTGTGTGCTCAAGCTAGGGCGGTCCACTTTAGGCTAGTGGAAATGCTATTCTAGCATTGCTCTAGGGAATCTCCAGTGAACTGCTAGATAGTTTGCACCACACTGTCTACTTTTTATAAAGCAGTTATAAAGCAGGTGTTATATGTATTTGGTTGTCTGGGAGATATATATATATACACACACAATATTTGGTGTGCCACAACTATGAAAGGTTGTATCTGCACACCATACTTTTCTCCCACGCCCTGAGGAGTCACAAACCCCAACCATTGGTGCTCAGAGCTTTCTTCCCTTAGTCCCATTTCCATACATAACCCTCCTCTTTTCTCATCACTGTATGTGCCGGCAACAACTGACTCTGAGGCCCAAAACATGGGGTGAAAAGGCAATCCTCCTCCTCCCCCTACAGAAAGTCTCTAGGAATATCATGCTCTATAGCAGAACCTCAAATGGGAGTGGCTGATCTTCCCAGATAGCTCATTTAGGATATGCACTGCTCCATTCAGGCAGATATTCCATTCCTTGAGGGACAGGGCATTTGTTTCCACACATGATTTGTCTTTTAACAGACCATTATACATCTCTATAATCCCTGTGGTTCCAGTTTGCTTTCTGTTGTTGAAATGAATACCATGGCCAACAGAAACTTGGGGAGGAAAGGGTTTATTTCAGCTTATGCTTTATAGTCCATCATTGAAGGGTACCAAGGCAGCAACTCAAGGCAGGAATTTGAAGCAGAAACCACAGAGGAAATCTGCTTACTGGCTTGCTTTCCATGGATTGCTAAGTTTTCTTTCCTATCAGCCTAGGATCACCTGCCCAAGGTAATCACCTTACCAGTATGGGCTGGGTTCTCCCATATCAGTCATTAAGAGAATGACCCCCCTCAAAAAAAAAATGCCTGTTGCAGGATATTTGATCACACCGTGAAACTCTGAGACTGTGTTAATAAAATTAACCTTGGATCAGGAGCATCAATGGAGCCAGCAGCTAGTTGACAAGAATTAGCTATAGAGAGTACAGATGACCTTGTTACAGATAGATAGATCCGCAGGAAGGAGTAGGGAGAGATTTAGAGATTTGCAGTCCTTTTGGGTTTGGAATGGGAGGAAAGATGCTCTCTTGCTGGGTCTCTGGCCAAAAGGGGAGGTCAGCTGGTTGCCTCTTCACTTCTCTGACCTAGCAGGTTTTCACACCAACATCTGACTCCCAAGTCTTTATTGGTAAATAGAATAACAGATAAAAACAACAAATGCCTATAGACCAATCTGATGGAGGCAGTTTCTCAATTGAGGGTCCTTCTTGTTAGTATTCTGGTTTGCCCCTTGGGGACCTGCCAAGCATCCTGACGTCATTAAAGACCCCTGTAAGAGGAAAGCCCCCCCTCTCTCCTTCCCTCCCTCTCTCTCCCTCTCTCCCTTCCCTCCCTTCCCTTCTTCCTTTCTCTTTAATAATAACACTTTCTACATGGATGCCATGTCTGCATGGTGTGAGTAACTTTCCACCGAGGTACACTGCTGCCGCCCTCCTCTTGTACATGGTGTGCCTCCCTTACCCATCAGGCACCTAGGCTCAAACCTGCCAAGGCCTGTTTGGTGCTGCGTGAATCAGCAGGCCCTCTTGGCACTTCCTCCTACCCAGTGGCAGTCTCAGAAATGCTGGGACCCTGTACCTCCCAACACCATCACTTTTCCAACTGGAGGACCCCTGGGACCCTTCATCCTAGCGGTAAGCCTCTCCCTTCCGGCCGTTTTCCACAAGTGAGGATTCGTCTCCGCTTGACTGTGGTTTCTCAACTTTTCGATATGTCCAAAAGCCCCAGGACCAAAGACCCCAGGCTGCCCTCATGATGACTCACCCCAAGGCCCCACCCCCACCCCCGGCAGCCCACCCTCCCACGGCCTTGGTCTGGGCTCTACCACGCTGCAGTCAGGGGACTCCCTCGTTCCCACCGCTCCAAGACTGTGTTTCCCAGTTTTCTCCTCACTCTTGAGGCCGCTGCAGCCTCAGCTGCCGCACCAGGACTGACAATGCCCAGCTGCAGCGCCCAGGGGCACCGCCTCCACCACCTTGGCAGGAAATGTCTTTCAGTCTTATGTTCCTTACAGGCTGCCTTTATATTGTAAACTCTTATTTTATGATTTTTCAACTTGGTCAGCTGAAACTTTCCCAGGATCTCTCTGTCAAAAAAAAAGTCTGTTTCTTCTGTATGGATGTGAATGTATGAATGACGTGGCCATGTGACTGTGTTTCTGACTGATCTTTGAACGCTTGAGATTCTATGTTCTGTATTTGTTCCTTTTGTCTTACAAAAAAACAAAAAAAGACCCAAAAAACAAAAAACAAAAAAAAACCCACGTGACCATTTTGTCAGGCACCATCTTGACTAAGGTCAAAGACAGGTCATATGGCCTCATCACCACAGGACTCCGGCACCATCTTTACTAAGAGCAGCAGGAAGTCACTTCCTATTTGTGGCTCAAGCATTGGCGGGAAGGGTGGGGCGGTGCTTCCATCTGTGCACCGGGAGGTCAGTGGGGTGCCCAGGAAATCTCCGGGGCATGCCGTGCATTGTTTTACCGGGTTGAGGACTTGAGCCTGGAGCTCCGCAGGCCCCTGCGGGCTCTGGTCACAGCCTGGTGCTCCTCTGTGGCCCCCCATGCTCTCCTAAGGACGGGGACCCTGGAGACTCCGGCAGGCCTTGCCCTGGGGAGGGTTACACCGCCTTGTCAAAACCATCCTCTCCCTCCCTCACGGGCGTCACCAGCTTGCATTTCCCTGTGTGTGGGGCAGCACGCTCCTGTGGCCCCAGAAGACCCGCCTTCCTGGCCCCTCCACTGGAGCCACCGCTCCCATGCTGGGAGCAGGGGCTCTCCTATTCCAGGGTAGGATGACAACACTGAAATACTTGTGAGATTCCGAAAGTTTTCCTTACCTTGTTGAAAAGTTAGCTATTTCTAAAAAATGTTTTCTGGTATATTCGTAAGTTTTGTTACAATTTGGGCTAACACAAGTTCAAATGTCTTTTTAATATAGATAATGTTAAAATTGCTTTATGCTGTTCTTCATTTAGAGAAAAAAAAAAAACCTGGCTCTAGAGTTGCATTATGGCTCTTCCTTCACTAGACCTACATGGACCTTCACAGTTTTGCCAGGTGCACCTCCAGAAGCACCAGCCAGAGTGAAATGGAGATCTAGAAGGTAGTCTATGTATCTGCTGCCAAGGATGGGCTCAAAGAAGTGTCCAAGAGGATTATGAATAAATCCCAGACATCAAAGTTTAGATTGTTTGCACTATTGTAGTTAGATTGTGATTATGCCATGTTTTCTCCCTCTTAAAATAAAAGAGGGTGCTTTATTTTTGATATTACAGGAAGACATTTGAGAGATTTTAAACTTTTTCTTAAGAACAGTTTTAAGACATTTAAATTTTTAAGGCTATGGCCAACTTGTCAGCTCAGTTTATATATAAAAGTCAAGCCTCACTTTTTCTAAAGCTACTAGGTCTCTTGATAAAAAAATGTTCTAAGATATAGAAGTCCATGCAAGGGTCTCAAAAATGATTCAGGATATAAATACCAGTTACAAAGATTTTATATATATATATATATATATATAGAGAGAGAGAGAGAGAGAGAGAGATGATTTAAATTCTTCAGATTACTTTCCCCTTCTATAATATTGTTATATAAAGATTTCAAAAGTTCAAAGTTTAACATTAATAGAACTGTTTGGGTCACAAGCTCAAGGTTTTGTTGTTGTTGTTGTTGTCTTCTAAATATAAAGGTATGCTTCTATCCCTGCTGTTTTACAGATACTTATTACCTGCTTTTCCACGATACAACCTGAGTTTTCCCCACCTGTCCAATTACTAAGACTATGGGCCTAAAAGTTCCAAATAAGTTTATAAATTTTAACTTCTGTTCCTAGTTTAAACTTGTCTCAACAGGTTACCACTTGGCTGGCAGACACAGCCAAGTATCAGTTGCTGACTGCAACCTGCTGACTTCAACCTGTGAGCCACAGACTTACTAAAAGCTGATATGAACCAATCCAGCTGATATAAATGCTCCTTGTTTCCAACTAGGTCAAATCAGGTGCTTCTGATAAATACTCCATTGCCGAAATTCCCTCCTTTCTTTTGCTTAGCCTTTCAGACTTCCTGAATTCTGACCATCTACATGGAGCCGCTATAGAAGAGAGTACATTGTCCCTACCCCTGAAACAGGCTAAAAAGGCTAAGTCAAAGAAAAACTCCCTGACAAAGGGAACAAAATGGCTACAAACTAGGAGACTGGGCCCATAATTGTCAGTTGATGGACTTATTAGCTAAAATGGTTCTTTAATAAGATAAGACACTTGGCCTTCCTTATACAGAACCAAAGAGGTATTATATGGCCACAAGAAATTGTTATTTCTATATAAATCATTCAGGACTATAATCTGGCTGTACTTAAAGATCAGATCAAAACTGCAGGGA